GTGGCCCAACGAAGTACTGATGGGGTGGTCATAATAATCAGGCCACTCAGTGTATATATAAATCCCACGTTCAAAGGCTGTTAAATCACATTGTTTACCCATATCTTCAGAAAAAAATCACTTCTACTGTCGTGGTAAACAACCTGCTTCCCTATTTATAATGTTCTGGCCCTCTAGCAACTTCAGCATGAAGTTATAGCTAATTTGCCTACAAAAGTCAGGCGGTGATAAGACAAGTTTCTAAATAGATAACTACTGCATTTGTTTGCATGGCATAGCATTTTAAATCTGGTGGGGTTTTTTTTAAATTAACATTTTATTATATTTGTTTTTTCTGTAGTTTTAAGCACAAATCTGTTACCTCACCTTGTTTCATTTACTTCACATTAGAAAGAAATGAAGAGAAATAAAAAAATGCTGTAACCAAGCTTGGTGAGAAAATATGAGGTAAAATAGTAAAGGAAGTAAGGGAAGGCCTCTCCTGTGCCTACCTAATGATGATTCCATTAATTATCTCACAAAATGAAAAAGAGGCAAACATTTCATAAATGTATACATAAGAGTTACCTCTAGAGCAAGCTGGGCAGCTAGACTGAAAATCTTGACAGGTGAACTTGTATCTGCAAGTGGGTCATTCCCTTCTAATGCTTCAGTTGTTAATAAATTTTCTAAAGTGGTAATTGCTTTCAGAGCTGAAAACAAGGAAACAATTCAAAACATGAGATACTCTTATCAAAGATAATAGCTATCAATGGTTAATTATATCACAGTGACTTTGGAACTCATTTTATGAGCACTAATATCTTTAAAATATTAGTTAATTTTCAGTCATCTAAATTGCTAAACTGTCAGAAAAATGCCTAACTGAGCAATTCACCTCTGTGAATATATCCTATGCAAAAGTAAACAAAAACATACAAAAATGTTCATCCAGTCCAGCTGGTATGGCTCAACAGTTGAGTGTTGACCCAGGAACCAAGAGGTTGCCAGTTCAATTCCCAGTCAGGACATATGCCTGGGCTGTGGGCTTGATCCCCAGTTGGGGCCATGAAGAAAGCAGCCAATCAATGACTTCCTCTCTCATCAATGTTTCTATCTCTCTATACCTCTCCTTTCCCCTCTCTCTAAAAATCAATAAAAATATATTTAAAACAAAAACAAATGTTCATCCAGCAATATTTACAAGAGTGAAATATGGAAACAACCTAAATTCCATCAATAATGGATAGGCTAAATACATTTTGGTACATTCATTAAATGAAATATAATACAGAATGAAGTAAAATAAATGAATGATAGTATTATATTCCATTATGTCTTAAAGGTAGATTATGGTAAGTTAAATATATGTAGTAAATACCTTAAGTAACAATTAAAGTAACAGAAAAAGAGTTACAGCTAATAAGCCAAAATAAGATAAATATAATCATAAAATTCAATTAATCCAAAAGAAAGCAGAAAAACAAAATGGCATCAAAGAAGAGATGAGACATATCACAAGACTGAAACCTAACCATATCAATAATCATGTTAAATATAATGGTCTAGATGACCCAATTAAGAGGCAGAGATAAATAGGATTACAGAAAGCAACTTTCAACTATATGCTACCTAGAAGAAATACGCTTTAAATACGAAGACAACTAGTAGCCCGGTGCACAAAATTCGTGCACATTAAAAGGGAATTAATTGCCCTAACCGGTTTGGCTCAGTGGATAGAGCATCGGCATGCGGACTCAAGGGTCCCAGGTTCGATTCCGGTCAAGGGCATGTACCTTGGTTGCAGGCACATCCCCAGTGGGGAGTGTGCAGGAGGCAGCTGATCGATGTTTCTCTCTCATCGATGTTTCTAACTCTCTATCCCTCTCCCTTCCTCTCTGTAAAAAATCAATAAAATATATTTTTTAAAAAAAGAGGAAAGCAAAATAAATAATTGGATAGACTGGATAATAGGAAATAATGAGGTTTCCAAGTGAGAGGTGAGAATTTGGGAGGGTAATGACACCATTCACTAATATAGAACATCTACCACTGGCCCCTGTGGAATGTTATTTGATGTTATGTGAAGAACCTCTCTCTGATCCTATACAGAAATAAATGCATGATATTACCTACATGTTAAATTAAAAAAAGATATAACAAAAATCACGACCTCAATTGTCAGCAATAGAGTAGGGGACTCAGTAATGCAGGTAGTGACTGAGAAATCTAGGGTATTCTGTTTTAGATTTTTAAATTTAGATTTACTTCCTTGTATCATATGTGGTGTAAATGATACCATTGTAATTAACCTGATTATGAATAACTGGAAAGGAACAAAGTGAAGGCCACATATCATAGGCATGTGATTTGTGCAGCTTTGTCAAGAAGCTGTAGTTTAACACTCCCAGGTCTATTCCCCACTTAACGCTTAGGGCAGTGGTCGGCAAACTCATTAGTCAACAGAGCCAAATATCAACAGTACAACGATTGAAATTTCTTTTGAGAGCCAAATTTTTTAAACTTAAACTATATAGGTAGGTACATTGTTATTAACTTAATTAGGGTACTCCTAAGGCTTAGGAAGAGCCACACTAAAGGGGCCAAAGAGCCGCATGTGGCTCACGAGCCGC